CAGCTCTTCGTTGAATATCATATTTGACGTACCGAATGTATAATACATGCTATTGTAAAAATTGCATTATCAAATTGTCAATATTTCAGACATATGAGATATTTCACTCTTGTGTCTTAAAAAATTTCTCATTATATCTTTGTAATAACGTCCGTACGTAATGCTGAAAGAAAAATATTGGACAAGTATTCATTTTTCCATAAAACACACGTGCAAGTTCGTGCTGTGTCGCATACAAAATCGTAAACTTTCTAATAAAAGCAGATATAACGTCGGATCTATTAGACTACTAGATTTTGATAATACAAACAATGTAACAGGTGCAGCTTATCAGAACTGATACGTTCGACCTCGAAGGGATATCTGACAGACAGAGGCACTTAAGCAAGGATAGTTCGATCAATTTGCCGAATAAAACTAACAACAATAAATCCTATCTGCTTCACGTAATTGTGTTTAATCGAGTTGCTCTATTCGTTGCATCAATCGTAACGTGTTTGTCGGTGCGGACGTTACTTTTTTTTTTGTTCATCGTGTCCTCTGCGTTTTCTCCCTTGAATTAGCTCGCGTTCAATCGCTCCGAGCAAAACGCGGAAGCATTATTCCGTATTTTGAGATTTTCGAAGTTTTTAATCGAGATACAGGATAAATTTCATTATATCCAGAAAAATAGCTCGATGGAAAAAAAATCTCCAATATTTTCATCGCTTGCGGCCGTAGTCGATTGTCGAATATATTTCGCTTGAAATCTCATTTTGAACAATAAATACCATATAATATCTCTTTCTCTCTCTGAAATAGAGAGGAATACTGTATTACATTGTGATTTTATTGGCCGGTGCCACAAGTGAGATCACTGGTAAATCCGTCGCATAACCGCGATGTAGTGTCCTCTGAATGGCGGACTCATTAAATTTCTAACTAGGAGAGGGAGGTTGGATATAGTCGCATTGAAATAATTCTATAGTGGCAAGTGCACTACGTTGTGCGGGAAACGTATGACGATGCTGTGCGATGCCATTGAATGCCGTCGGCAATACCTCGTCCCCGAGATTCGAGTAATCTTACACGGGAGAGGCGGAGTGCAGAAGGTGG